TGTCAAACAAATCGGAAATCGGGAAACAAATGTTGGACAATAAGTAAGACATTGTTCCATGTATTTGTCCGACTGATATCTAGAACAGAGGATTATATGATCACTTATCTTAAATGGCGTACCATCATCTTCTCAAGTTTCGAGAAACCTTGTAAAGAGCTACGATTGCCGATCGGTTCCTGAAGTCATACTTGCAGTAATAGTTACTAGACTTATCCAAGTGGGAGACTGTTGGATAAGGTGTCTAAGTCCATAACTATTTCTGGTATGTACTTGACCCGACCCGGCATGGTCCATTTGGGTTGCATGGCACCATGCAATTGGATAGACTAAATGAGAGAAATAACGCTTGGAGATTATTAATATATTATAAGTTCTAATATATTAATAATATTATTTGATTAGTTTGATCAAGAATTAATTTAGAATTAATTAAGTGATCAAAAGATAACTAATTAAATATATGGGTTGATTAAGTAAATCATCCATATCTTGTATAGTGGGCTAAAAGGCTCCATGGATCATCAAGTTGGGTTCCACCCATAGGATGCTCCATGGATGCTCCATGGGAGTTACAAACCCATGGGTCATGGAAATGAAGAGTCATGACACATTAGGGTTTAACCCTAGATGTGTCAACACTATATAAGAAGCATAATCTGCACCAAAATCGGTTGCAACAAAGAAATAGAGGGCTTAGCCGATTTGAAGAAGTGAGTATACTCTCATAAGTTCTTCCAAGAGCATTTGGTGTTGTGTGAAGCATTTGAGGCATCACCACTTGGGGTGCTAGGCTCACAAGGTTTCAAGGAACACAAGCAACAACAAGGTAAGTTATTCTATCTATACTTTATGTTAAAATTGTTCCCCATGTATGCTAGATAGGAATATAACCTTGGAAATCAACTTTGCATGACAAATTAGACAAACATAGATCCAAGGTTATTAGGGTTGCATGTACACTTAGGAAGTGTTAGAATGCTCAAAACCCATCAGAAACATCCCTCAATGTCAGAGATCCATCTCATCGCAACAATCGGGTCCTGCGTCCCATCGAACTCTAGTGACTTCGTATTGCTGAACTCCCGAAATAGCAATGAGTCACCTCCCTGAGGTCTGGCAGCACCAGTAGCTGCAGCCTCAGTCACCGCTGCACACTGCTCATCAAAGGTCTCAATCAATGTGGTCTTGATGTCCCCGAACATCTCTGGAATCTCAGCCAGGATGGCAGCAGCTACCTCCTCATGAATCAATCGATGGATCTCCTCGTCACTGGCCCTACTGCTCTCAGGTGTGTGTCGCGTCCCAACCATGATGCCTCTAAAATACAATATAAAAATATCAGAGACTCGATCGAGCATACTCGCACTCGATAACGCAACCCTACTCTCCCTCCAATACCCAAAGGATTCTTGCTTGGGCTGCTCACTGATCCAGTGTCTTCAGTAGTACGGGCCCTATACTACTGACCACACCGCATCAACATTCACCCCAAGTCCTCCTCCTTGGATCCCAGATTTCAAGTACTCTATTCTCGCTATGCATTGGCTACCCTCCGATAGACCTCTCATGAGCTCGTAACTGCTACCTACTCGCTCTTAAAGCATCTCATAGCAGCAGAAATCTCCTAGGCTAAGGCATCACAAATCAGGCCACTCTAGTCCTAATATGAATACCTAGCCTACTCTAGCATGCATACCATAACATAGCATATCTCATAACACATACTGTAAGGGTATTTTGGGGATTAACCGTTCGGGTGCTGGCTGACCGTACACACTGCTCTGCTCTGTTTGTTTCAAAACTCCTTGCTCTTTTAGAAAATTTAGTTTTTTATTGTTGAAAGATTCTCAAATCCTCAGTTTGAGTTCAGATACACCTAAAGGTGCATCCGAGTCCCACAAACCAAGGCTCTGATACCAACTTGTAACAACGTAAATTTTCAAAACAATTTTTCATTTCTTTAAAACATAATTTCATTCATGACAAACCATAAAATCCAATGTAACATGGTCATAATACAAAACATATCAAATCCCAAGATCAAATATATCCAAATCCGCCTGCGTGTGTGTACGAGTCAAGTCGGCGCCTTCCCACGGTCCTCGCTAGTACCTGAAACACATAAGACAACAACTGTAAGCATAAATGCTTAGTGAGTTCCCCATTATACTACTTACACATATACGCCTTTCCAGGCCATACTCCACACGACCTTCCGGTCCATGTGTCTCAGGGGACTTCCGTCCCAACCCGGTAAACCCTTCCGATCCATGACTCCCAAACCTTCCGGTCTACATCATAATGCCTTCCAGCCCATATCATAATGCCTTCCGGCCCATATCAAGCATATCATACATATCACATACAAAACAGACAACTCATAGCATACAATGCATATATCTTATAGCATACAAGACCTTATGGTCACACATAGGTACCCTTCCAGGTACAGTATAGTTAGAAGACTCACCTCGTATGATGTCTAGTGTCTCACGTTCTCGATATCTCTGAATCTCGAAACAACGACCTAGCCTCGCCTAATCACATCAAGTAACCATTCCAAATCATTAACGACTCTCAAGGCTATACTACATTCCTTTCTACAATTCCACAGAAGGGTAAAATACCATTTTACCCCTCCCTGACTCAAAAGTCCACATGTTGACTAAAACCCTAAAAGTTAAAAAAAGTCAATAGCAAGCAGTACGCGGGGCGTACCAACTCCTGTACACGGGGCGTACCCTTGCACTCCAGAAACGGGGAACGCGACCCCTATGCGGCGCATACTGGGATTACGCCCAACGTAAATCCTAGTTTCTTACCTTCTTCATTTTAGTGTCTTAAACAGTTAAGACATAATCTCACATTCCAGATCTGGCCATTCTAATACCTCTTAATCCATAAAGTCGAAACCTTTAAGCCTTTGCATGGTTATAAAGGTTCCCACACCTTCTAACACCTTTCCTTTCTCCTCCAAAAGTCTAGATCTCATGCATGGTCCAACATTTACGTCCAATATTGCATTTTTATGGACATACAACTCATATAGTCCTGGAATATGATAGAACTAGGCCAATGGGGACTATTTGCTCATAAAGTCTCCATCTTGGGACCTTAAACCATAGAATTTGGTCCAAGAAGTATACAACACAAATAACAAGGCAAGTTCTGAACTTTATACCTCAGGAAGAAACCTCAGATCTACTCTTGTCCACCAACTTCTAGCTCATTCAATGGCCTCATCTTCTCTTTCACCACCTTGAAATGGTACTTTGAAGCTTAGAACACTCATACTCAAGCTAAGGATGAAGGGACAACTCTCTTAGGGTATCTTTCTGTGAGATGGTGGCTGAGAGACAAGACCATCTCATTCCTTTTATAGCCCTCAAGTCATATTAGTGTTTTGCATCTGGGCCGGTTACGCCCGGCGTAACCTTGGGTACGCCCAGCGTACCCGGATGAATCTGCATGCAAATTAAGCGCGCGAGTACGCGCAACGTACTCCTTAGTACGCCCAGCGTACTCACAAGCTTAACATTCTCACAAGGGACCTAACATGACAACTTGGAAAAGAAGAAGGGTTAAATGGTTGAACCTGAATTCTGGGATATTACATCTATGATATATAATATTAGAATGCATGCCCAATTGGACTCTGTTGAGGAGCTCCACTGCTTCTGGTGCGAGAAAACCAAAGGTATCAAAGGTAAAATGTATAAACCCATATTGATTTTCTACGCATGCATTCTCATGCTTTGCCACTTTACACTAGTCGCTTTCAAAACAACATGCCCTACTGTGAAACCTCCCCTTCTTAAACCGACGAGAAAGGATACCCCAGTAAGATCCACACAAGCGTGCTTACCCCTATCTATCCAAAGACCAAAATGCCATCCAACCTGAGTGTAGATCTTCTATCCAGCGGGTTCGTCAAAAAGTTCACTGGCGCTTCTTTCTTCACGAAGATACCAGCACGCCGACAAGATCAAAGAGAACATCTCTAACCACATCATGTCGGTACTTGAAACCAAGGAGATCTCTTCAATGAACTGCATGTTCCCCACAAATGTCTAAACATGCCTTGTGGTAAACTGGACATATCTCGTCAATCGAGAATAGAAGATTCATGAGGCGGTAACGAATGATAGTTTTATACTCTACAAGAGACATATGTTGGACGAGGCCATAAATAGGGATAATTAGTAGAAAATCTTGAGCATAAGGTGCCCGAAGACACTCAAAAACTGCTTTCTATCTAACAGTCATGTTGAAGTTAACTTCTATATCTTTGACGATTTTGTTAAAAAGGGCACACGCCAATGTTTTTTGGGATTTAGGGGGAGGGTGTCCTTATTAGTGAAACCGCTACAGCCAAATCCTAGTATCGTATCGCGAAGATGAGTCCAAACACAAAGGTAATCAGAGTTTATACCACATACATCACTGTTACGTAATATGTGGTCTTGTAATGTCAAAGATTGGGCCATCGAGACTACAAATATGTAGGATGAAACCTCGTATGCCGAGTACAAACCCAAACCTCGTTAATTATGGATTTTTTTTTTGAAAAAAATGCTATTATGCTGGTTTTTTTTTTTTTTTTTTTTTTTTTTAATTTTTTTAATTTTTTTTTTTGTTTTTAATGAAAATTATTAACCAGATTAACCCCTTCAAGCGTACACCCCTTTCGAATTCGATCGCCCCTACCCTCCCGCGACCTCCTTGCCATTCCCTTTTGGTTCGGTCCGCCCCTCGTACCCTCTTATCATCGGTACGCTTCCGCCGTCTTACGCAAACTGGCCAGTCTCCTAAAATAACCGCCGGAAAATGGTTCCTCAACCGTCGCGTCTTTTTGAACAAAAAAAAAAAAAAAAAAATACATTTTTGTATCCCGCGGTTCTGCTTTTTTGCTCCCACAAAAATCCGAAAAAAAAAAAGATAAGAGGGAGAGTTCGCTGCAACGACTAATCTCGACGATACTCGCGAAATTAATCTCAATGATGGCAACGATTCACATTCCTGGTAACGGTCTTCAAGTGTGGATTTGTTTTGGCTAAAACTCGAGAGCATCAACATCAATAATTCAGCATTTGCTAGTTTGAAAGGCAGGCAGCAGGGTAAGTTCACTGATTTGTTTTGTAATTTAGGGTTTATTTTTTACGACATGATTATGATTAGGATTTCATGTTTTATTGGTTTTTAAAATCGTTAATTTGGATATGATTATTTGACGCTATCCCATTGGCTGCTTTCGTTTTCATGATTCTGTGAAATCAATGTTTTGCTTGGTTGCTCAAGAACTTCTGTCTGGGTTTTGATTCTCAGAAAGTATGTTCCTATGTTTCTAACTTTCTATATCTCTGTTAATCTATATATTTTTTTTATTAAATCGCACACGAGTTCTCCTATTATTAGTACTTGATACGAAGTTTGATTCAAGTTGTCAACGTACTCACAAAATATGTACAAGTCATATTGAACATTAAGTTGCAAATTTGTCTATTTTCCTATTGTTTCTTAATCATGTAAAAGCACAACATATCTAGTCATCTGCATCTAATATTCTCCTTAGACCATGTGGTAGTATGGCAGTATTTAGTTTGTTTCAAAAAGTATTGATCATTCTTTTAATCGAATCAGGTTTTATGCTTAATGCTATCTATAAGGACCAAAAAGGAAGGTGTGTAATGTGTATACATTGCTTTTACCTATTAGGCTATTAAAGATTATAGGATAATCACTTTGTGATATCAGAATATTTCCTACTAAAAATGAAATTGCTTTATAAATGCTGTTTGCTAAAAACGAAATTCCTATTTGAACGATCTTTTATTGTTGCACAACAGATCTGATGAATAACAGGCATAAAAATTACAAATTAGGGTTCCTATGGGTTGTTGTGTTGCTTTCACACAGCATCTACTCATTTAGTTGGTTATTCTCTACACGAAAAGTTGATTCTTACGAGAAGCCTTCATCTCATGCTGAATTTTCCATGGAATCATTGAGTAGCAAGAAGGGAATCTCATTGGTTGAAAAAGCCAAGAGAAAGGTCGCTATGCCTAATTCTTGTTGGCAAAATGCATATGGAAATTTATTTGCAGGATGCTCAGAGATTCTAGCAGGTGAAGAACATCGGTCTAGATTAGCTTGGCATCTTAGTGATTGCTTTCAGAAGGACACTGGGAGGCCTCCTTTCCCTTTTTGTGATGTCAAAAATCCAATTGTCAATTGCCTCAAAATTTTAGATAAGACTGCTCATACCATTTATCTTGAGTTTTATCTTGAAACCAACTCCATTTGTCATCAATTACAGTTGAGTCTCTCTCTCTCTCTCTCTCTCTCTCTCTCTCTCTCTCTCTCTCAAGGCCTAAGTGAATCAATCTTGTATTGTAGGACGGATGCATTCAAGAGACAAACAGAAAGATTGGTGAATGAACTAAAAAAATCTGCTGAATATGCAGAGGACAAATTAGAGAGAATAGAAAACCAGGCTGAAGGATTGTTGCATACTTCAGATCATATTCAACAATCTTTATCTTCCATTGATGTCCAAACACAACAAGTGTCTCAAACATCAAGAAACATCCAAGAACATGTTGGTGTTGTGTTACAGTATTCCCAATCGGTTTACAATCAATCCGTGAAACTATCGGATTCTCAAATGGAACTTCGCGATGGACAAATAAAAATGAATGAAAGACTGGGTGAAGGAATGATGATGTTGAATGAATCAACGAATAGGATTGGGGAAGAAATGAAGAATTTAAGAAATGAAGCGGTTGAAATAGAAAAAGAAATTGGTAAAGTTGGAGATGCGATGTTTATGAAGATGAATAGGTTACAAAGTAAGGCTGATGATATTGAGAATATAGCTGAAACTTCATTAGACAAACAAAAACAACTTATTGATAGTCAGACTGCTGCCCTTGAGGTTCTTCATACTGTCACTAGCTTTCAGTCCCAAGCTCTAGAAGAAAGCAGGTAAACCAGAAAAAGAAAAAAATCTCGATTTTTTAAATATTTGAGAAATTTACTGCAGAAAAAAAAAACCCTTGTCACTTTTGAAATTGTATTGTAGGGGAACTTTGCAACAGTTGATTGAGCTTGGTCAAAGTCAACAAAAGGAACTCATACAAAGGCAACAACAACTTAAAGCAGCTCATGATGATCTAGTTATGAATTCAAAAAGCATATTGGCTGCTCAAGTTAACTTTTTTTTTTTTTTAATATATATATTTTGGGTATTTGCTTTTGTTTTATCAATTTGAATAATTCTTTTTGATGTTTGATAGGAAACTTTTGAGTCGAAGCAAGCAAGCATGTTTCTTGCAATCGAAAAGCTTTTTGATTTGCACAATGCAATTTTGTTGGAATCACGGGTTATTAAATCTTTTCTTGTATATTCTATATTAATTTTCACGCTCTATATGTTTACAAGTACAAAGCAAACCTACAACGTGAGATCCAGGCTCTATATAGGTGATTCAGTTACTATTTTCAATCATTTTAAGTTGTGAATAGTTTTAATTTTTTATATTATACAATGTTCTTTAATTTTTCTTTTTGTTTGTGCAGGGTTATGTGTGACATTCTTGATTGAATTTATGGTGCTTCGGTATGGAAATGAGATTGAACAACAGGCATGGATTATCAGCATTGTTAGGTTAATATTTGTGTTTCTCGCATCATGTCAACTTCTTTATGCCATTTACACATTCAGGTAAAATACAAGAAATAGGAATGTACTTTCATTTATCTGCTACAACATTTTAGATAAAACATACAATTATGTAATATTGAAACACAAATTAAAAGTATGATGTTGTAATCACTTCATTGTATTGTGTTTTTGAATTGAAGCAGAGACTATGAGACACTGAACCATCAGATGCTACAATCACTAATTGAGAAGGTTAATGGCATGCAAGGAAATAAACAATCTTTATGTGATGATGATGATGATGGTGATGATGATGATGATGTGGATTGGTCTTCATGGGTCGACACTGATTTACCTGAAGATGAATCGGAAGATCTTGACTATAAGCTTCCGGAAGAAGTTGGAGAGGCTTCAATCACCAATTTAGTTTCCAGGCAATATACTCTACGTCACCGTAATCTATAAATACCTTACATGCGCTCGATTAAATGTAATTGTATTTTATTGGGCTACTTATTAAACTTTCTTTAAGTGTCAGTTACATATTTTTGTATTAAAAGGTTATATTGTTGCATAAGCTAGATAAAAAAACATTGTTCCATAAAGTAATTATCGTGTGTCTTTACTATCATATAAACCATTTACGATTTATAAAAGTCTTAAAATTGAAGTAGTACAAGTCACATAAGCATTATGTCCCACAGATTCAATATTTTATGTTTTATGTATGTTATTTGTGGATTCATAGCGCATGTATCTGCAAATTTTAATAAATCAACTTCTCTATCGTGAATTTGAATGGATTATAAATATTGGTTATTTTTTGAATGCATGTGTAATGTAAGGCCATAGATTGATGAAATAAACAAACCCCAAGAGAGATTGATGGTTGATTTTGCCCACAAATGGTCCATTCTAGAACCACGTTTCAGACCAGTTCCACGACGTGCAGATGAAACCCACGACGTGGAAACTGGGCAACCAGTTTGCTGTTTTGCTTTTTAATTTGATATCTTGGATGTTTTTGTTGGTCATTTCAGGAAAAATGGGTCCTAGAAGGGCAGTTCGCAAAATATCACATAAGAAACATACATAACAACTCAAAGCTACTGGGTCTATTTCACCCCCTTCAGTATCTTTCAACCAATACTGGATCTATTTCATCCCTTCGGTATCTTTCAATCAGTACTGGATTTATTTCACCCCCTTCGGTATCTTTCAACCGGTACTGGGTCTATTTCATTCCTTCGGTATTTTTCAACCGGTACTGGGTCTATTTAACCTCTAGAGCTAAGCATACATGCATATAAGGAAGAGTCACAAAGACAACAAGCACATATTGACATATCAGCAAGTGTCACAAAGACAACTATCATCCTACAAACATAATCGAATGGGCCGACATTGATACATTCGACCCACAAGTACAGTGAACAAACTTACCTGGTTATTCAGCAGAAGCCCAACAACTACCTCAACAATAGAACATCCAACCCAAGCTTCTTAAAGCCAAACTGAAACTAGTCCTTAAACCAAATGCTCAATTCTACACAAGTTTGACCAAAAGTCAAATGGGTTAAAAAGTCAACGGTTAAAATCAAAGTCAAAATTGCTAGCCAGTAGCCCTCCACATCGTGGCCTTCCGTGGCCACATCGTGGGCACAAAATGCCAAAACAATTGCTAATCCCCTAATCGCTAGGTCGAGGGAACTGGTCTGAACAACTTAAACGACTTAATCCATTTTCTTTCGATTCCAAGAGCTCCAAAACTCAAATCTGATCATTTCTAAGGTCTTAATAGATAAAATTTCTAGCTTTATGCATTAGGAAAGTCCAAACCACACAGATCTAGACTTTAAGTCTTAAAGAGATCCACGATGCATCTTTCTCAACTTAATCCATTAAGTCCAACTATCCAAATTTCAAATCTAAATCATCAAGATGTCTAGATGAATAAAGTTTCCAACTTTATTCATAATAATGCAACAATCTTCCAAGATCTAAACTTTAATACACCAAAATGACTTAAAGGATCAAGATAACTTGCATGGCTAAAAGGGAAGACAAAAGATCTAAACTTTCCTAGTCCATAAGGTCCAAGAAACATTCCAAACTGATCAAAAGATGTTGGAGTCCACTCAACTCCAAGATCACTCATAAAATGGACCAAAAGTGCCAAAAACCCCAAATGACAAGATCTAATGAACCAGATAGCAAGATTGGAACTTTATACTCACAATGGTCCATAAATATAGTGCCTTTGATGGACCCAAACTTGAAGCATCATTCCTTTCAAACAAAAGAACCTTCTTGATCTTTAAGTTCCATCAGAATAACAGAAACATCATCCAAAAGAGGAGGGAGGAGAGAAAGGTGAAGCTCAAATCTTGAAGGTGGAGGCTAGGGTTTCTCCCAAGGGGTCCTAGAGGTGGTGAAGGCTGATAAAATGCCCAAAAATGCAAAACATCAAGCTTAAATATGTTGAAAACCCTAAAAAAAATATGGGCTTAAGCCTGACTGATTGCCACGCCGTGGGCTTTGATCCTCACATCATGGCCACGACTTTTCACCATGTAACATCCGAAAAATACAACCAATTTAAATTTTTCAAAACAACCTGATTTTCACTAAATTGTTTACAAAAAGGTTTTCAATACAATATTTAACAGAGTATTTTCCCAGGTCCATTTCATAAAACACCAACGCGAGGGATGGTACGATCACGCCTTTGCCTTGCCACAGACTCCTGAGAACCTGAAAACATAAAAACCACAACTGTAAGCTCGAAAGCTTAGTGAGATACCCCCAAAATACCAACCACATATACGCCCTTCCAGGCCACAACCTTCCGGTCCAAACATATCGCCTTCCGGCCCATTGCGTAATGCCTTCCAACCCATAACACATTGCCTTCCGGCCCATAACAAATGCCTTCCGGCCCATAACATATCGCCTTCCGGCCCGCAACGTAAAAGCATATATATATATATATATATATATATATATATATATATATATATATATATATATATATATCATGACAGAACATAGAACAACCGTGCATACCGGGTTACACTCCAGACCAGACGACCATACACATAACATGTAATCATATAGCAGTTCACAGTTAGCAAATCGATCAACAGATCACATAACATATCATTACCCTAACCAAGATACCAGCCTAGCCGATCACTAGCATAACATCACCCTACGACTCAGCCAACATAATAATTATGCACATACGCCTTTCCAGGCCATGACCTTCCGGTCCACATCGCATTGCCTTCCGGCCCGCAACATGTAATGCCTTCCGGCCCATATCCCGCAATATCATACAACAGACAATTACCCGGATTTCCATCCGATAAAAGGGTCGGCCTTGGTGCCTTAAACCCTATAGATATAGTGAGGATAACTCACCTTGAAACTGCCGACTGAACAGATAACCCGAACTGCTCCGATCTCCGATACGATCTCCACCACTGGACAGCCACCAATGCACTGAACTCAAAACCATAACCAACAATTACCAAAATACCCCTGGAAACCACTGGTCAACCCTTGGTCAAAGTCAACCCCTGACTGACCCTACTCGTCGAGTCAACCCTATGACTCGCCGAGTTCCCAACTCAAAACTTCACTCAATCCGCGACCTAACTCGCCGAGTCACCCCGAGACTCGCCGAGTCCAACAACTCTGAGTCCATTCGCACATAACTCACCGAGTCATCCCTTGACTCGCCGATTCTTCGACTCGACCAGAAAATATTGGGACTCTTCGACAAGACTCGCCGAGTCCAAATGGACTCGTCGAGTCAAGGCTATCTTCAACCTACTCGCCGAGTTGTTCATCCAACTCGTCGAGTTCCAGGCCATCTTCATCCAACTCGCCGAGTTGTTCTTCCAACTCGTCGAGTTTCAGCTCGTCTTCAAGCAACTCGTCGAGTCCACCCATGTGACTCGCCGAGTACCACCGGTCTGAATCCAAACAGAAGCGTTCCAGACCATGCAATTGATCCAAAACATAGATCTAGCCTCCTACAACTCATCCATCACGTAAAGTGGCAATCTTTACGTGAATCCAAAGAGATCTATGCATTTTGCACATTAGGGCTAAGGTTTGGGACAAGATAGCTTCATCCAACACTCAACACAGGGACTTTCCTGCATTCTAACCCTCCTCCATTCCAGATCTGAGGTAGCAACCTCAGATCCAACCTTTAGACTCCAAAATAACCAAGATAAGTTTCCCCCCAAACCCCAAAATGAAGAGACAAGACAATAGCAGCTCAAGAACGAGATTTTACCTTCAAAGAGTGCCCTAAACTGCAAGGAAACTCGAATCCAAGCAAAACCCCTTGCTCCACACCTTCAAACTTCCAAACTTTCTCCAACAATTACTTCTCCAAGCTCCAATCCACTCACAATGGTGCTTCTCCACGATTTTAGGGTTTCAAGGACTCAAAGGGTGATAAAGAGGCTGGGGAGGAAACATAATGCTCTTTATATAGGGCTCAACCCCGAGAATTAGGGTTTTCTCCACTCAGCGCCTACTCGCCGAGTCCATCTCAATGACTCGCCGAGTCGGCTATTTAACACGCGACCAAGTCGCGACTCTACTCGCCGAGTCCATCCATGGACTCGACGAGTCACTCCTTCCCAAATTACACTTTTAGCCCTTCCACACAACTCTTGCTATTTCGGGATGTTACAATTCTCCCCCACTTAAATTAGGCTTCGCCCCCGAAGCCTACAACAATACATCTCCAAAGATGTTCCCCACAACACGCCATCTGGCCTTAACCGGACCAGGTCCCGCAAGGCATACCCGTCGAAACTCGAACACACTTTCCCTTCCTTTACGGTGTCCTGTCTACTGTCTCGAACCGGGCACCGACTGTACCCTCTGATAATCACACTCAATACCCGAGAATTACCCAAGATGCATTACTGCCCCAAACTCAATAATCACTCGACCCATAAGGGTTAGAAAACTTTGAACCGTCGGATCCCCGATCCGAATCCCACTTTATCCAATCCGGGACGACTGAGAGACCCATTCTCAATCTCAGAGCAACTCCCACGAGTTCTCCCCTTGCAACCGCATACACATGCTGAACTAGTCCTAACACCCTCAGGTTGGGAAAACCTGATACACTGATAATATCCTCAAACATCCCCCGGGATAAGCCACTAATACATGCCCCATACCCTGATCAAAATCACACTGAGAGTTCAAGACTCTCTCCCTGCATCCTTTCTGAGCCTCTTGGCTCTACACCTGCGGAATTTCCTTCGCAACCTCAGCAGGCATCCCAAACCGGATGAGCTCCTATTCCACTGCCGCAAACATGCGGCTCAAAAACCATACTCGAATCACTCTAATCACAACTCTGCTCTGCCGCTTTCACTTCCGTGAACTTGCACCCCCTCTCGAAGTTACACCTCACTCTCTCTTCCTTTACCAAGGAAGCCACTCGACCACAATGTCACTCCGACAAGTGCCACGGTGCTCGCCCAACGCTACACCACCCTTTCATAGCGTATCCGCTATCCA